CCCCCCCCCCCCAAAAAAAAAACCTACTCCAAAGAAGGAAATGGGACAAAGATTACAAGATAGTATTGTAGTAAAAACCCTGCTGCTATCTGCCACCATATACTTCAAAAGGGAACAGGATATACTAAAATTGCCTCAACCCCTACCCATATATACATGCCATTAACTTCTTTAACTCTCACAGGAATAGCTAGTTTGAGCATTCTTGTTGTTTGAAAAATTGTAGCTCGCGTCTAATAAAAGTGCCTCATCAAAATGCTTCTCTCCAGAAAATAATGTTAGATAGTAGTATTCCTATCTTACTCTTTTACTGTTTTATTACTGAAACAACTTCAAAATATTTTCTCAGGAACATTCAGTTTCTCTTGAACGTGAATATGTAGTAGACAAACACAACTGCCTACAGATAAGTCACCTAAAGCAATCCTAATTTAAATGTGAATAATAAGTAATGGATGCAAGGCAATGAATGCTATTGACACTGTGATTCCAGAATCATGTTTCTGCAAATCAGGATGACAGATTTAATGTGCTTTTTCTCTTACTCTTTCTTATATCACTCCTATTTTTGGTTTCCAGTGGATGTCAATTTATTGCTACCCCTACTCTAGCAAGAGAGTGCATGTTATTCCTATCATAAAATATTCATTTCTGTTCATTAAATACCTCCCTCGTCATCTCATACAAGACTTTTAGGAGCAGCAGAAAGAAAAATGAAATAATTGGGTATAAAATGCAAACATCTTTGAGCAGTGTTTCTCCTTTTTGCTATGGAATATAAAAATAAAACAAGTCCAAATCAAAACAATGGAATGGTGGAGAGCTATCACACAAGACAGTATTGTGTTGTTATTAATAATAAAGAGTTTGCTGAAGTACATACCCAGAGGAGGAGATTGGTCTTCCCCAGGCAATGAGGTTATATAATGCAAAATTTTATAGCAGTCATTGGAAAGCAGGTGTTTATTGTCAGATCATATTTGTTGCGATAGGAAATAAATGCACAACTCTCCCAAACAAAGCCATTTATCTTCCAAAGATCTCTCATTACAATACCATTACCATTGCTCTCAGAAAAAAAAGACAGCTAATGACAGGTCACTGGGAAGTAAATATATAACTAAATTAAGATGGTGTTTCCTTGTTACCCTATTCTCTAAGCCCAGGACAAAGGCTTTTCAATGTCTCAAGCTTCTTCCCTCTTGAACCTGCACAAATCTTACTTGCTAACAAGGCTTGTGAATGGTTCTGTTTTAAACTTTTACTGCAGGACAATTTGAAGGAAATGATGGGTAAACTTCCCACGTTTCGATTGCTTTCTCACCCAACATCACAAGCCAACAGAGAAGGAAAAAAAAACCATCAGCAATTGACGTCAGCGGCAGGTCTGAGCAGAACGGTTAAGTCAGCATTTTTCAAGCTGAGCAACGTTAAGATATATGTGGTCTTCAACTCCCAGGATTCTCTGGCCAGCATGTTGGGTAACAAGTGAGCTAGGTGCCTGGGATGGAAACTACAGCCATGTTTCAAGTTCCCTGTGCAAGAAGTTGTCACATCAAAAGTGTTCCATGAAGTAATTATTACTTGAATTCTTGTATAAACATGGGCCTATTGGTCTTCTGGAAAACCAGTCAATCTGTCTCCAAAAATAGTCCATCTGATAGGTTGGTGGGGCAAAGAACAATTGTAAAATTGGAGAAAATTCACTCAGCACATTGAGGGAGCTTCTCATGCTTCACCCTGAGCCTCCTCCCTTTCTTACCTCTGTCCCTTTCCTTTTATCAGATGAACTAATTTTGGACAGAATTTTACCAATCTTCCAGAGAAGTTACTTCACTTTTAGTAGTAGCCTGGATAATAGGTCACAGGCTGTGAGGGCATGGCTCATGGGCCCTGGGAAAGCTGAAGAGGAAACAGGACTTTGCACAAGAAACACCATAGCAAGGGGAGGGGGAAGCATGAGTAACTCTGGCTTAATTATGCTCGGTATAACCTAAGCAGGAGAATTGCTTTGACAGGCTTTCAAGATCCTGTTATATTACCTTACTAGCAATACACATCTTTTCAGAAACCTAACTGCTTCTCATTTGTTTCCCCTTTAGAAAGGGAAAGTGGCTAAACGTTAATTTAATATCCTCCAGCACTGATGGTGTTACCTAGTTTGGTAAGGAAATGTCTGCAAGAAGAGCAGAGAGCACCAGGGACCCTCACAGTTAATCCCAACTTCCAAAGGCACTAGTGGAAATGAGTAGTTGCAGAAAGCAGCATCTTAAAGTATTCTATGGAGAATGTAAAATGTATGTGTGTAAGAGTAGAGTAGAGTAGAGTAGAGTAGACTAGACTAGACTAGACTAGACTAGACTAGACTAGAATAGAATAGAATAGAATAGAATAGAATAGAATAGAATAGAATAGAATAACAGAGTTGGAAGGGACCTTGGAGGTCTTCTAATCCAACCCCCTGCCTTAGGCATGAAACCCTATATACCATTTCAGACAAATGGTTATCTAATCTCTTCTTAAAAACTTCCAGTATTGGAACATTCACAACTTCTGGAGGCAAGTTGTACCACTGATTAATTGTTCTGTCAGGAAATTTCTCCTTAGTCCTAGGTTGCTTCTCTCCTTGATTAGTTTCCATCCATTGCTTCTTGTCCTGCCCTCAGGTGCTTTGGAGAATAGCTTGACCCCCTCTTCTTTGTGGCAGCCCCTGAGATATTGGAACACTGCTATCATGTCATCCCTAAAATGTAAAATGGAATGGCCAAATTTATTTATTTATCTATTTTAATTCTGCCTTTATTATTTTCAAAAATAACTCAAGGCAGCAAACATATACAATACACTTTCCTTTTATTTTCCCCACAACAACAACAACCCTGTGAGGTAAGTTGTGTTGAGAGACAGTTTGTGGCCCACAGTCACCCAGCTGACTTTCGTGGCTAAGGCAGAACTAGAACTCAGAGTCCCTCTGTTTTAACCAAATTGATGTTGCCTTAACCAAATTGATGTTCTCCCCACCTGAAAACAATAAAAACAGTATAAAGTATAGCTACACAAAAGCCCTTGTTGGCTAAGTAGTGGAAAACTTGTACAGGTAATCCTTGACTTACAATAGTTCGTTTAGTGACCATTCAAATTACCATTATTCACACTTATGATTGTTGCAGCATCCCCACAGTCGCATGATATACATTCAGATGCTTGACAATGACTTACATTTATGATGGTTGCAGTGTCCTGGGGTCAGGCCAGTGCCCCTTTTGTGACCTTCTGACAAGCAAAGACCATGTGGAAACCAGATTCACTTAAGAACCGTGTTACTAATTTAACAACTGCAGTGATTCACTTAACAAATGTAAGAAAAGTCATAAAATGGGGTAAAACTCACCTAACAAATTTCTCACTTAGCAACATAAATTTAGGGCTCAATTGTGGTTGCAAATTGAGAACTACCTGTACTACCAATTTGAGGCAAAACCTACAACACACATCTG